CCTACCTTGGAGATTGCTGCCACAACATGCCAGGAAAGCAGTAATTACTGCCTCACACCTTATTGCACCAAGGAGGTTAATGATCACTGAGACCTCACCACAACCCACTGGTAGTCGTAGAGACAAAATAAACCTTTTATGTGTGACAGCAAATGACTTTCATCGTCAAAATGGTTCTGTTACTTCATCTTTTCCAAGGCCAGGTTAGATGGGGCCCAAGACAGCCAGATCTAGTGGATGGCAACCCTGCCCACGGCAGGAAGGTTGAAGCTTGATAATCTTTGATGTCCCTTCCAACTCAAACCATTCTGTAGTTCTATGATCGTTAGGCTAATTTTTACAATGCAAGATTTCTCTGATAACTGTTAATGAATCTTTTAGGCCTGATGTCCTCTTTCTCCTTACCCAAACCACTCAAGGCAAGATCCTTAGCAAAGGATAGTCCATCAGATAGAAGTAACACAAACCTTCTTTGTTCAGACAGCAGTTACAGCACAGACAGCAAGTCGCCAGCCTGGCCCTATGCTACATCAGAGGAAGGTGGAATTGCGGATCAGGGTGGCAGCCAAGGAGCGGCTCAGCTGTTGAGTGGCCCCAGAGTGCAAGATGGAGACGTGTGGCAGCCTGAGGAGTGGCTAAAGGAAAAATAACATCATCTGCTAGATGTAAGCCAAGGTGTTTATTTTCAGTTTCATTAGCACTGCTAAATATACACTCTGGGGAACTGGAAATTAGCTCGGAGAGATCTGGTGTGTTTATGTTCAGTGAAAGAGTTACAAGCACTCATTTGCCCACATCTGTGCCCAGCACAGGGACACTGTGTACACCGAACATAGACAGGAATGTGAAGAGCATCCCACGGGTTTCCGGGTCAGACATAGGACATTTCTGTCCAGATCTCAGCAAATGGTGCAAGGAATTAATTGTAATGTGGAGTTCATAACAGGGGAATCGTGGTTTGTTTTGCAGATTCTTCCTAGTAGCAATGCCATCAGTGCTGAAGGCAGCTCACACACCAACAGGGGCTAGACTAAAGTACATGAACAGGGGCCATGAGACCCAGAAAGTTCACAAGTACTTACAGCTTTGGCTGGCATAGAGAGCAGACTGTGCTGTTGAGGGGACATTCCTGCCCCTCAGCATGAGATGCTAATTTTGATCAAAGTCCAGTACGGCTGCTGGAACCAGAGGGGTTTGGAGGCATCCACTGACACTGAATGATATCTTGGCACCATTCCATGAGTGCTGCCCTGAAATGCCCTCTTCCAGCCACGTGTCATCCTGCCTTACAGGTGAACCAGTAGAAAGGCCACTTGCAACCTACTACCAGAAAGCCTGCTCTGAAAAAGGGCTCCTGAAACAGGGAGGCACAGGCTTGTCCAGAGCAGACTGGAGGACTGTTCATAATGTAGGAGGAGCAGCTCTTAAGCTGAAAAATAATCTGATAGTGGGAAGTTCCTCCACTAGTGTATACGTGAGTATGTAAGAAAAGTAACAATGAAATCATGCGTTGCATAGATTGATGAATAGATAGGTGATATTCAGTTTCATATCACTGTTGTGGCAAATCCAGTTGGTGCAAGAGATGATCTCCAGCAATGGGAGACTGTTACTCACGTTCTGCATCACAGGCTGGGAGAGCTGGTGAATTCAGCATTAAAGCTCTGCAGCCTTTCTCCCTCTAGCATTTATTAAAAAAAAAAAAAAAAAAAAAAAAAAGGCAGATTATTTCTTCATTTACAGAGTAAGCGCCCCAGTCTCTGCTTAGCACTGAGTCACCCACCCAGCACCGACAGACAGCAGTGCGCTCCATTCTGCCTCAGCAGGGCAGCTCCTACTTACTGCCAGCTCACCCCTGGCACAGAGCTACAGCACTTCTGCCACATCCTGCTGGTTTATGAGCAGCTCCTGCTGTAACTGAAGCAGCTCATGCAGGCCTTCAGGCATTGTCTTCCAGAATGACATGGTGGTTACTGGTTTTAAACCTGAGTTCTGGAGTTATGGGAGGTAACTTGATCTGTAACTCAGAATGTCTCTGAACTTTAGACACACAGGAGATATGAAAGCCAGTGCTGACTTTCTAAACAATCAGCATCACTGTCAGTTTTCATCGTAGCTCAGTTAGCCCTCTCTTAGGACAAAGACCCAGGTATTATCAAATCACACGTGCTCTGGTGTGGTACAGGCTCAGGCTGGAATTCCCAAAGCATGGGAGAAGGCTGCTCCGCTCCCACTCCCATTTCAGACTTAAGTGTATTACTGCAATTAGAAAATGCAAGGCAGAGGAATTTCTCAAGCAGAGGTTTCTGTACAGGAATTAAGAGAAGCTAATTTTAAGCCTCCTGAATGTAGGTTTTCCTGCAGAACAGAACACTGAGAGCAGATGCTGTCCTCAAGTTCTCAGATGTTTTTCTTGGAAGAAACCCTATGCTCCTGTGAAATGGTCAGCAGGGGCCTGATTCTTCTCTCATTTCTATAAACATCCCAGTGTTTACAGCAACATCCCAATGTTAAGTGTTACTGTACCAAATCCAGATGTCCCAACTCATACAAAACTTTATGAAGTCAACAGGAATGCTTCTGTGGATAAAGCAAGCTGCAGCTTGCTCTAGATGGATGTAACCAGAGCCAAAGTTTACTCTCACAGTTGTGCTGGCAGGAGGAGCACAGAAACTCCACAAAACCCCAGATTTAGAGTGGACTGACTGACAGCAAAACGTGTTCCCAGGGTACTGAAACGTACTCAAAGGAACAAACTTGTTTTAAACATCTTGATGGAGCTGGCCAGCGGAACACCCTCACTTTTGATTTTTCTTGCTTCCTGAGACTCCTGTTCAGCTTTTATCTCTATCAGAAATGTAGGTCTTCACTTTTCCCACACCACATGAACACCTAACAACTTTTTGTTGTCAGGAGACTGTTGTCCCCTTTGTTTTCTCAGCCTCCAGTCGCAGCCTTTGCAGCAACACAGCCCCAGCCTCTGACACCTGGCCTGCATGTCTCCAATGCTGGAAGCACCTTCTGACTCAGAGCAAAACCTGGGTATGAAATGGATGTTTTCAGGGTGAACCACTGAAATCCTTTTCTCCCATTTCCATTTCTTCCATTTACATAATCCTTCAGTATTTAAGATTAAATGGACGTCTGAGAAAGTTTGGGCTTATTTAGCTTAGAGAAGAAAAGGCTCCAGGGAGACCTCATTGTGGCATTCTGGTACTTGAAGGGAGCATATAATCAGGAGGGGGAACGGCTGTTTACAAGGGTGGATAATGACAGGACAAGGGGGAATGGCCTTAAACTGATACAGGGGAGATTTAGGTTAGATACTAGGAGGAAGTTTTTCCACACAAAGGGTGGTGATGCACTGGAACAGGTTGCCCAAGGAGGTTGTGGATGCCCCAACCCTGGAGGCATTCAAGGCCAGGCTGGATGTGGCTCTGGGCAGCCTGGTCTGGTGGTTGGTGACCCTGCACATAGCAGGGGGGTTGAAACTGGATGATCATTATGGTCCTTTTCAACCCAGGCCATTCTATGAAAATAAAAATTAAAAAAAAAAAAAAAAAAAAAAAAAGGGAGAAGAACTCACAACCCTCAATTCCTTAGTGCAAGTGCTGGTACAGACAGCTACCATAAGATACTGTCATCACACTGACAGCCTGTCACTCTCACCAACTATTTTCTTTTCAGTTCAAGGAGATCACCCAGTGTGGATTGTCTACAAGAACTTCTTTTCAACAACCAGACTCCAAATAGCCTTAGAGCTTTCCTTTATCACATTTAACACTCAGTTACTTATTTAAGTGTCTGACCAGTGAATGTAGTTGTTTTTGATTGCTGCAATCCTTTGACACAAAACCTTCATCTCCCACCTATTTACATCAGAACCATTTCAGCACATCACACTGTCAGACGGTCTGTTCTGTTAATAGATGTGTTTTTACCAAGTCATACCATCTGGTAAAAGCTGTAAACTAAAGCGTGGTAACACAGGACACAACCTAGCTCTGCCTGCACGCAACAGCAGGGAGCATTGTGAGGAACAACTGAAGCGCCTTTGTGGAGCGGCATCCACACACAATAACACAAACAGCAGGCACAGGGCCCCGCTGTATGCCAGCAGGCACAGTGTGCAACAGCTCAAGCTGAACACCTCCAGCACTCATTGTGCCAGCAGCACTATATGAGAGGCATCCCAACATCGATGCATCTGACCTGGCTTCCCATGGGTGAGGGGTCTCCTTCCTCTACAGCAAGAAGGGGCCAGGGCACAGAGCTTCTCTGTCAGTGCCCATCTCTGGGTGAGTCCTTAAACTCCTTGTGTCCTTCACAGCTTCTGTGTGCTTTGCTCACAAGTCCTCCATCAGGGGGGCAATCTACAGACTCTTAACAGAAAACATTCAATCTGTCTTAGATTTGGAACATGGATGACATTCCAAGCATTTGCATAGTGCCCACAGAAACAAGGACACGCTGGAGTGCTGACTTAATGCTACCTGGAGATACCTTACTGCCAATATAACTTTTCACGCTTTGTCAAAATTTTCTCTTTTTTGCAACATTCAGTTATTTTCCTCATTCTTCAGATTGTAACTAAAACAAATTATGCTGGTATTTATTTTTCAATCATTTTTAAAAAATGTTTAGAGGAATTCGTAATACCTGAGCTGCAGTGCAGCAGTGGGTCCAAGAGGACTATTATTACACTACAGTCTTTAAAAAAAAAATGCTTTGTGCATTGGGATTGACCAAGGATGACTTACAGTTCTAGGAAGGCAAACATGATACAGTGGATCCAACAGGCAGCTTAATGAAGATGTCTCAGCCCTGGTCTCTATAGAACAGGGGACCACATTGAAGGAACGCTACAGAGAAACATTTGCTGCTTCCAGCAAGCAGGCAGCTGTGGTAGAGCTGGGTTACTGACGCTGAAAAACATGCTGAAAAACTATAGACTCTTGGGCTTCTACATACACAAGAACTGTAGTTCTGAAAAACAATTATTTACATGTGAGAGCATTTTTATTAATTGGTATGCTTTAACAGGCAACATCTATCGCACAACTCAGTGACATACTAAGGAAAATACAGATTACTAAGCAGTCTCTCAGAAGAGGCACCAGCTACTTTCCCACAGATCAGAGAGGAGCAGAGAAAATGTTATTCAACAAATATTAACATGGTCATTGGCAGCATGATAATATAAGACAAAAATTTGTGTTCACAAAGACTTTGGAAATAGCTGCAAACTGTAAGTGATGATGTGATGCAATTCTAAACTGAATGCAGAATGAAAGCTATTGGCAGGAATGTAAAATTATTCAGAGACAAAAGGAAGATTAAATTCTAGCTCTATTCACCACTGCTATGTTTCAAATAAAAAAATACTTTTGCTACTTTGTAGATATATTATTTCCTTAAGTAAAACATTCTGTTGGATGCAAGGAAACAGTTCAGGTAATCCAAATAATCATTCTTGGCTCATCATCTAGGAATGTCAGTCTTGGAATACAATTGAAAATTGCTGCTTTCACTCTCATGGGTTGATTTCTAGAAGTCATTAACTCACCACTGCATAAGTGATGAATTTCACTACCCTAATGATAGAACAATTATACTCTGTTTCCACAAAGAACTCTGTAATTATCAGATAGAAAAATAGAGAAGCGCTTGTAATTACCAGGCAAAATATTTCATAACATTTATTTACATAGAACAAATATTCCCTGTCAAAAATTTATTGACTTTATAATAATCTGATGACTAAAAATATCTAACAAATAGAAAGAGTGTAACTTAAAGAAATATCTGAGGATTAATTTGCAAATACACATTAAACTTAGCATTATTACAGTAATCAAATCATAACAAGTAAATGAAGAAACAGCATAGCTGATACTTAACCAAACATGGCACTTCAAAATCTGTTTCTACTTACATCTAAAACATTACAAAGGCTCCAGCTACCTTTTTAAAAGAAGTAGAAAAACTCAGAGGTTATGAAAGAAAATTTGTTTTGGTAATACCTAAAAATGTTCCGCTTCCCACTGTACCAATGTGACATCATTTTTTATCATTACACAATGATAACAGATTCCTATTTAAGTTTTAAACTGACGTCTAGACCAGCATTCACTAAACAGCTGGCTCACAGGGCTTCTGCATTGCTACAGCTTCTCTCTCCTCCATGTTAGCACCCTTTGTTGATAACCGATGACGGTGTTTCCTTCAAGAAAAATACACAAATCACTCTCCCTCATGCCAGCATAAGCTGCTGAAGTTAAAGGCATCAGTGCAGAGGCAGGCAGGACACCAAGCAAGCAACATCTGCTAAGCACACCCAGCATCGACCTTCCCTGTGGTTCAAAGCAGTAAAGCTAGGACCAATTTGAAGACCTCCCTGTATCTTTGCCCTTCCAGCTGCTTTCATTGGTGGGAGTAAAAGTCAGGTTTGGGGCTTTGTTTCTTTCTTCTTTCTTTCCCCAGCAGAAAGCATCCCTCAAGACATTAAGTCCAGGGTCATCATTTTGGTCTTTAAAGCAATTCTCTGCACAGAATGAAACATCTCAAAAAAAAAAAAAAAAAGAGTAAATGGTGTCCTGTGCCCTATTGGACTCCTAAAGCTCCTCAGTAGGGGAGACCAAGTCTACTCAAAAAGCCTTTTCTAGAACTGATCCCCCAGGACAGAACTCACTTCCGCTTGCATGCTTTCCTCTTGCGCTACAGCAGCAGCACAGTGTGTTTGTTACTAGGCAAAAGAGAGTCTCCCTCAGTTCACTCACCTTCTACCCCTTTTGGTGCTTTAAGCCGTGCAATTCTACCATGGAAGCTTTTCATGAGAGCTGTAAATGAGTCAGAGGCCACCTTGGTTAAGATTGAATAGAAAAAAGAAATACTCACAAGGGAAACAGAATTTACAGAAAACATATACTTACAAGATGACTGATGATTAGAGCATACAAAGAAGAAAGATTACCCCAAAACGTCTTTGAGATGGCCCTCATTGACACAGCAGGCTCAAACCTTTGGCAAGATGCCTCTGCACCATCTCCCTGAAGATGACAGGGCGAAGACAGCTCTGCACTTACTGCCTCCCACCTCCACTGCTGACATGGAGGATTCGCAGGGCACAAAACTTCCCAAGTGTGGCAGTTACTTAGTCTGCTGTCTTGCCCCATCAGAGACACTTGCCCATTCACAGCAAAAGTGGTCAATTACCTTTCCTTTATTAAAGAGGATTCAGCAGTATGTTCCAGGAAGCCCATGCACTCATGTGAATTTTAACTGTTATCCTTCACAAATCCATACCATAAGTTTGGCTACGGTGTCCTAAAACCTTTCTTACATGCACATTAAATGTCAGGGCTACAACTTCTCAATATTCCTATTTTCTTAGTCACCACAAAGCTGTGTATACTGATATCCCAAGGTTTCAGTAGAAAAATGGCTATATCCTCAAGCCATGAACACACAGAAATGTACCACTGCATTAGATGAACGCTGACCTCCAGTGAATAAGTTACATACAGGATCTGTCACTGTTTATTCACTGCTCATATCAATGACTCATTCCTCCCACATGAGAACCAGCAGAAGGGCACTCAGATTTTTTTTGTCTATTTGTTTCTGTTTGTTTTTATTCCTTAAAGCTCCCTCAATCTCCTTTCCCCCCAGCTCCATTCAATCTAGATTCTTGCTCCACAACGGCAGAGACAACCAGAGCAGCAGGTATGAATGAATCACCACGATTCACATACTTTGCTTTTCAGGCCAGCTGAAATGCTCTGAGATCCTCTGCAAGAGGAGCTATATGACAATGTCTTTTCATCAGATCTAACATTTTCAAGATCTCACAGTGGTGGCAGCAGTTAGTACAGTATAATCTATTTCCACAGAGTCATGTGTTGCTTTAGTAAGACTTTCAAGAACATCAGAAGAGACAATGCAGGTGGTACATGCTCTCCTTGCTGCTGGCCCCTCTTCCTGTGGAAATACAGCCTGTCAAATTGACTTACTGTAAAACTTTAAGTGCATATGAAGGAAACAGTGAAGTAGTGGTTTCATATCAATGTACAATTTTGATAGCAAACATCTGATTACCCAAGACTATATGCTGAATATGTATATGAATATACATATGCTCTATTTGTGCAGAACAAGCCATAAAAAATGGCTGAATGTGCCTTGATGGCTAAGTGCCACTTTATGCTCAGAAACAGGACAAAACTCTACCAAGGTAACAAGAACAGCTGCCTAGATTTTCTTCCTTAACCTACTGACATAGCAAAAAAAAAAACCAACCAAACAAAAAAACTAGGTACACTGGCAAGTTATTTGACAATTAATGGCAACTGGTTTGCATGCAAAGAGGGCAATTCACAGTGACATAGTGTGAATCCTAACTCCCTACACCCATGACAGGATTGGAGGAAAAACAGAAGGAAAAAAGCAGTCTAAGCTAGCTTACATTAACAACCAGTCAGACTTTATACTTGGTTGGATAAATATATATAACTAAGGAACTGGGAATTCAAGACCTGGCAGGTTAACATCTTTTATATAAAACAGAAAATGACGCCAGAAGTTGTCAGAAACAACAGTTAACTTTCAAAATAGTGTTATTCTACTTTTCATTTACTTTCTCACCTGAGGAAACGGCCACAAGTTGCACCAGAGGAGATTTAGGTTAGACATAAGGAAGAACTATTTCTCTCAGAGAGTGGTCAGGCACTGGAATGGCTGCCCAGGGAGGTGGTGGAGTTGCTGTCCCTGGCAGTGTTCAAGAGGTGTCTGGATGAGGAGCTGCGAGGTATGGCTTAGTGCTAGTGGTAGCAATGGTAGTGGGAGGACGGTTGGACTAGATGATTTACAGGTCCTTTCCAACCTTGTGATTCTGTGATTCTTCCCAGATGACTTAATTTCAAAGCCACAAGTTCAGTTAACTGTGCTCTGTAAAGTGCAACAAATAAAATCACTGTCTAGAGCTGAATACAGTATTGCAGTGATTCAAGGAGTTTCCTATTCTTGGTCCTTCTCTGAAGAGAAAAGGAAAGAAAGGGAAAAAAAAACCCTGGATGCACATGGACTTGTGATAATGGTTCATGTGCTCTATTTTAATCCCAAACTTACAGATGTCACAACTAAAAACAAGTAAGCATCACTGATTGCTGAGTAATTAGATTACTGGAACTTTTTATATGCAAGTTGTACAACATAAATCCATAAATAGAAAAATTCAGACACAAATTAAACATCTATAGTGAAGAACAGAGGTGAATAAAGACATCACAGCTAGCAAACAACCAAAAACCCCAGCAAAACTCCCCACAAAAACAAAACCCACCAGGCTGAAATTCCCTTCCTGCCTGACACTTCTCCTCTGACACAATCAGCCAGTTTTACTGCAGCCATTTCATGGGTTGTGACTCACCTACTCTACTTCCACTGAGCAAACGCATTGTGAGTAATAAGCAGAACAAGCTGTGAGAGAAAGAGAGGGATGGGATGGATTTCTTGGACCGACTTTTTTCCACAGTTTGAAATTCTTTTAACTTACATTCAAAGAACATAATCTTGTAAAGAACATACTCGCTTCAGGCAACCAAAAAAGGAAGAAAAACACAACTACAGTAGCTTTGTAGCTGGCTTCAGTGTCTATAGCAAAGCTCCTCACATAGCTCCTAAGCAGAAGGTTTTTAGATTAAGCCTTAAAAAATAAGTTTATATATACTTATATACGTATGTATGGTTTTTTTTTTAGAAACTCATCTAATTCCTCACTTTTGGGGCACAACACATTTTGATGTTAATTGACATTCTCCAATACAAGAATGACCTATAATTTTTCCCAACTCTGACTTACCTGAATAATAGCAGCTATTAAAGGAATAATTCTGACTCTCGTGGAAAGCATATGTAGTCATAAGGACTGCAGAAAGAGGCTGGAAAGAAGACAGCAGATATTCTTTCCAGTGTTTGCACTATTTGTGTTGGAAAAGACATTGGTAGAAAGTTGCCAAATGGTCCTTACCCACTAATTCATACAGAATCACACAGGGGAAAGTATGTCTAATAATGGTTTTAAGCAAGAAACACCTGTACAATTCCACTCACACTCATCTTGAAGTGCACTTTTAAAGCAGAGCGCACTTTGCTGGTTGACAGTTTGTCAATATCCAAGTGGAGACTGGTGATGAGTGGCATTCCTCAGAGATTGGTGCTGGAACCAGTGCTATTTAACATCTTTATGGGCAACACGGTGTGGGTAAACAGACAGTGGGATCGAGAGCACCCTCAGCAAGTTTGCAGATGACACCAAGCTGGATGGTGCATCTGACATGATAGAGAAAAGGGATGCCACCCAGAGGGACTTGGACAAGCTTAAGCAGCAGGCCCATGCCACCTTCATGAAGTTCAGCAAGACCAAGTGCAAGGTCCTGCATCTGGGTAGGGGCAAATGGAAGCAGAAATACAAGCTGAGCAACGAATAGCTTAAGAGCAGTCCTGAGGAGAATGATTTGGGGATGTCGGTTGATGAAAGACTCAATGTGAGCCAGTAACACATGCTTGCAGCCCAGAAAGCCAACCATATCCTAGGTTGCATCAAGACAAGTGGAGCCAGCAGGACAAGAGAGGTGATTCTGCTCCTCTACTCTGCTCACATGAGAACTCACCTGGAGTACTGAGTCCTGTTCTGGGATCCCCAACACAAGAAGGACATGGAGCTGTTGGAACAGGTCCAGATGAGGTCCACAAAGATGATCAGAGGGCTGAAGCACATCCCCTACAGGGACAGGCTGAGAGAGTTGGGGCTCCTCAGCCTGGAGAAGGTGTTATAGCAGCTTTCTTGTACCTGAGGGAGGCCTACAAGAAAGCTAGGGAGAGACTTTTTACAAGGACTTGTAGCAACAGAATGAGGGGAAATGGCTTTAAATTGGAAGAGACTAGACATTAAGAAGAAATTCTTTACTGTGGGGTGGTGAGACACCAGAACAAGTTGTTCAGTGAGGCTATGGAGGCCCCCTCCCTGGAAGCATTTGAGGCCAGGCTGGACGGGGCTTTGAGCAAACTAGTGTAGAGGGAGGTGTCCCTGTCTATAGCAGTGTGCTGGAAGTAGATCATCTTAAAGGCCCCTTCCAACCCAAACCATTCCCTGATTCTGTGATCTTGAATGCATCTACAGACACTGGCAGAAAAATAGTTTTAGAAAACGCATCTCACTAGAAGCATCATCAAGTCCATAATAACAGCATACCACAGTCAGTATTTCCAGGTTTCTGCCTTCTGTGGAAACACCATTTCTATTGGCATATTGGAGCTATTAAGACACGACAACGTTCATTTCCAATTAAGATGCTGTCTTTCAAGAGCATTTGCCCCTGACAGAGTGAAATCATCACAGCACCACGAAATGAAGCTTACTCTGTTGTTGTTAGAGACTAGCACTGCAGAGACACAAGCTGCAATCTTGGCAGAAAATTAGTTCATTTCATGAACCACCTTAAAAGCATCTGAAAAATCTTTGTTAAATAACTTGAAGATTGCAAAAAGTAATTTAATTACTTTTCAATTTCCTTTCCAATATTATTCTTTATATTTAATCTATGTACTTAATGTAATGGGACATTTGAAGACACTGTTTTCCTACTGACACTGACAGTATACTCCAATAATTGAGTTTTACAATTGCAAGATACAATGCTGTATCTCCAGACTGTGTGATCATACTCCAGTCCTCTGAAAAGCACTAAGAATTGGCATTGCATGCTGTTACAGAAGCATTAAAAACCACTCAGGATTAGAAAGTCTCATGCACCACTTCATGAGAAACTCTGCTTTTGGCTGGGAATTCCAGCCTCACGTTTTTGTAAATAAACATTCTAACAGCCATTTTTATATAAGCAACCCAAAAACTTGCAGAGCTTGGGAAGTCTCTCACAGAAGACTTATCAGTTTGCTTCTTTGCCTTCACATTCACTGACAACTATTATTCCCACATCCAGTTATTTAAAATGGAAGCCATGAATGTAAACACTATTTGTTTCCATATTGTTTTAAACATAGATGTATCATTTCTCACAGTGAATAGCAGCTCTTTGTTCAGTCATGTTGCATAATAGATACTAAAATTCACTGAGGATGATAAGAAAATTGCAATGTTGCTGCCCTTAGAGTTCCAGGAGTATGTGTACAACACGATATTCACTACACTGTAAAATAATTGAAGCTGAAAGGGATCCATGGAGGTCATCTGGTCCAACACACCACTGACAGTAGAGCCAACTCTGAAGTTATATCAGCTGGCTCAGGCTCATTTGAGTTCCAAATACATTCAAGGATGGAGACATCAAAGTCTCTGTGCAAACTCTTTGATCAATATCACTGAAAATATAAGTCTGTTACCTACTAAGTTTCCCTCATTACAAACTATAACCTTCAAGACAAGTGATTTCCATAACAAAAATATATACACATATTCAGTACATGCTATAATACAGGAAATAATGATGTACTGTCTGTAAATTTAAAGAAATAGTCTTTAGAACAAGTAACCTTGATTGTTCATCTGGGCCAATGAGAATGCCAAAGATGGATTTCTTGATATAACATTTTTACATAATTCAGTTCACTTGTCAGCAGAGAAAAATCTGTCTGCCATGCAGACAGGCCTAACAAAGGGCAGCATTGTGCAACTTAAAACATCGCATACTTGAATACAGTAAACAAGAATTATATGGCAAGCCTCTCAGCAGACAAAAAAAATTTAACATTAATTAATATAAATTTCTTAAAGAATTTTTAATTTCAGTCCCAAGTACACAAAAAACTGTCTGGTGAAACAGTAAATATTTTAATCTGAGGCAAGTAGCCTGTTGCTTATGCACAGTTTTCCCAGTTTCTAAACACAAAATGGTGCTACCACTGCGTAACTGAGCTTCCTTGATGGTAAGAAAATGTGTGTCCATAATCTCTGCCAAAAAGTTGGCAATTTAGCTTCCCTACCTTCAGTAGTTTAAAAGTCAATCTTTATTTGTTTTCTAAATCTCTAATAAAGTAAATTGAGGTTGGCTAGAGTGATCTCACATTTAAGAATGAAAAGTTTCATAAAAGTTTTAATTTCTTTTCACTGATTACCTAACTTAGACTAGGCACCTACTACTTAGACTGCCTAACAATCTCAAGTATTTTGAATACTTAGATTGCTGCGTCTTTCAGGGGTTAAAACAGACAGAAATCAGGATGAGTAAATGTACACGAACACCAAATCAGTAAGTTATCAGCAGCTTAATTCTCTAAAATTCCTCAACAAATGATTAAAAGAACCCACAGCACTAAATTAGTAATGGTTTCAAGAGTAAGTGAAAAACATGTACATTAAGTTCACGTGTTTAACTGATTTCCAGACCAACACACATCCAAAAAGCATAATTTAATTTAACATGATTTTGCAGTGAGTGAGCATTAACAATGAAATTTAATCGTCACACAAATCTTTATCTAAAAGTCTAATACAAATATCCAAATAATTAGTAAAGATTAATTAAAGTGTTACCAGTAAGACATTCAAGAACATGGCAATAAATGCTAACAACTTTAGAAGCCCTTTCTAGAATATTAATTTACAGTCATTCTTCCTAATAATTCTTTGTACAATAAAAAAAAGTATATTTCTGTTTTTCTGCTTCTCTTTTCCACCCCACCACCACAGTTTTGACCTCAGACTGAACCACCAGCCAATCACACCTGATGGTAAAAATCCAGCAGTCCAAGATCTCAGTGTCAGCATCCAGCTCAAATGTTCTTTGGGAATAAAATCCACATTTTTGTTTTAAGTGTAAAGTGCAAGTTTTCTCCAGTGCTATCAGAAAAGCGTGCTGCTAAGAATGTCACCACAGAATATTAACAATTAAAAGACTTATCTACATCCAGTAGCTCTCTTTAGGGCAGTTATTAGATAGTGTTTAAAGGAATAGCAGGTCAGTATTATATACAGGACATTATTATATAAGGTACTTTCTGATTTCATGAGCCGATGTCTTCACTCAAGTTCTTCAGTTTCCTCTGTAAAAAGGTCAGCCAGGTCCACCACCGTCAGAACTGAAGCTTCTGACTGTTTCATGGAAGAGCTTGTGTGGCTGTAGGAGAAAGTTACATTCAGACTTCAAAGAAACATCAACTTAAGTAACAAGCAGTATGCACTGAAGACAGGTCACATGGTTCAGAGGCCAATAACTGGCTATGAGCTAAGCAGAAGAAAACCCTTCTTACTAGGGCAAGTACACACACTGAACAGCCACTTCTCTCGCACAGATTGAGTCCATCTACTATCCTTAACTGTGGTGAACATGAAACACTTCAGAGGCAGCAGAAGATGGGATAATCCACTTTGTCGTCTTAACATCTGAGGTGCTGACTTTAGATTCCAAGCATAAGGTTTGATACTACTTTCAGAACATCAACTCTCACTAAATCATTACATCACAGTATATTCATCTGAAGTTTATGTGCAAAAGTAGGGCCGCTTCACAGATATGGAAACTGAAAACCATTCTTCCAGGGCTAAAGTTGAAATCTTTCGAAAGTAAAGCCACAGATTTGCATGAATATTTTTTTGGTCTCATCATTTTGACAGAAAAAAAAAACAAAAAACCACAACACACTGGAAAAGTGACTCATTTTCCCAAGCAAAGGCCTCTTCCTGGATTTTTTTTTAAAATGTATATACAGCAATGTGTATAGTTAGAGACATACAAAATTCTTACATTATCTGCACAAAGAACGTGAATGCTGCCTTGTTTCAGACTTGGTATTTGTTACTATGTTTTTGGAAAAATACAATAGTGGAAACTGCTTTCCATCTGCACACCCAACTGATGTATGAGCTGGCATCTGAGCAACACTTATACTGACTGCAAAAATCAACCTATCTAACACAGAAGTGTCAGTCGAGGTTTGTTGAGTTTAAAAATAAAGAAATAATAAGGTCAGATATTAGAGCTTACAATACATGCTGCTGGTCCATTGGCACGCTTAGTAATATTTCATCTGTATCAATGCTTTTATAGTAACAAATAGGTAAGCTGAAAAGGCAAATCATAATACAACACGTATCAACTAAGACGACTGGTCTTGTCTGAAGTACAATACGCAAAATGTAAACAAAATATTCTTCAGAGAATTGGGTTACTCTAAGCTTCCAGGTTTCCCAAATTAAGTTAAAAAAAAAAAACAACAACAATTTTTCAAGCTCTAAAACTTTGTTTCAATCAAAAGAACCTGAAGGAAAATGAGTGTTCGTTTCTAAGACAAAAAAAAGTATCTAATTGTAACGTAGGTATGTCCAAGAATCACTTTTTCAATTTCATTGCAATAATAATGTTTCAAAAATTTAAACACATACCTCCTATCTACAGTTTTTAGCATAGTTTGCATTCTTTCTTCTATTGTCGCTTTTATCAGGAACCTATGGACAATGGTAGACCTGAATGTGTTTAATAAAAAAAAAATGAAACAAAGATAAAGTTGTTGCTCTCAAAAGTTCAAGATCACTTTTTCTCATACTAATTATTTTTAAGACTCCCTCCCTCAAAAAAAATGCAGCAAAAAGACACTATATTTTAAGACAGAAATTGTACAAGGTAATTAATAATATCCACTGACATTTAAAGTAAGGTCACATGCTTTCAAGTAGATGCTGGGCGAAGTTT